ATATAGAAAAAACTCTGAGAACTTTTAGTTCTCAGATAGATGTTATTAGACTGATCACTGAGATTATGAATTTCATATTAAATTTCATTTGATCTGATTTCATACATTTCTTGATATGAATCCTGCTGAGACTGGCTATTAAAAAAACATATAAAGTGACTATATATCAGATCTTAAAATGAAATCATGACTTGAAAAAAATGAGAAAGTGATTTCATTTGATCTCATTTAGTCTCATTCTTAGTATAAAGTTACTATTTTTAGACATTTTAAGGTTTCTTTTACACTATTTTTAATTTTTTAAAAAGTAACACTTTTTGGTAACACTCAAATGAGATTTAAAGTCATTTAAAGTCATAAAAATAATTTAAATTGAGAAGTGAAAATCATAATCTCATTTGAAAAATGTGATAAGAGTAGACAGTAAGTTTCACTGAAACAGTATGAGACTACTATCTAATGTTAAAACCATGTAATGGGATCAGTCGAATTGGTAATGAGACTATCAAAAAATCTGGTCCTGGTCTCAGACACGGTCACACAGTCAGTCTAGATGTTATAGTCTCTGACTGCATACATCTATAATTGAAGAATCTCTCTATATATTAAAGAAAAACCAACTTTTCCGTGCAAAAAACGCTGTAACGTGACCTCACGTGACATCACGTGCACCCCATCAAAAATCCATGGATACGTAGTGGCGCCTGCCAATTGCACCACTCTATCTACCCCCTATCATCACCACCGCCTCTAACGCCCCGTAGCACCCCCTATTACTTCCACTTCATACCCCTCCCTTCATCTTATCACTCACTCTTACCACCTCTACCACCCCTACCACCTTTACCACTTCTATCACCTCTATCACTTCTACCACCCCTACCACCTCTACCACCTTTACCACCACTGTCTCTACCACCCCACAGCCCCCCCTATCACTTTCACTCCATATCTCTACCCTACCCCCATCTTACCACTCACTCTCTTACCATCCCTATCATCTCTACCACCTCTACACTTCTTCCACTCCGATCCCCCTCTA